TCTTATATTTTCAGTCATTTCAAGGCCACAAATCAAAAAAATGTATAGGTCACAACTGTAGCCATGGCGATTGCTCTGGTGTGGGTTCAGGTTTGGTTATGAGTGACTGATTTGTTGCTGAAAATAGTGGTGGTAGAGGCGGTGACTGGTGGCAGTGGAGGGGAAGTGTGTTGTGCGGTGTGGTGGTGGGAACGGAAATCAGATCTATTGTTGGTGGAGGATCTGTGTTGACGGATCTGTTGGTGGTGGTTTGGGCTAATCTGTGGTGGTTTGGATGGTGGTTGTTGTTGGTGTTATTATTGGTGGATAGTTGTTGCAGTGGAGGTGATGGCAGGGGCAAGCATGCGACGAAGAATATTTGTGATCAACTAGTTGGTTGATCTGTGACCAATGTTGGTGGTGAGTTTGGACTGGGGACTGTGTGTTTGGTTGTATGTGACCAATTATATGGTTTTCTATAACTTTAAAATTGAAAATACATAACATGTGACATATAAATTTTTTGATTTGTGACCTATGAAATTTTAGATACCGTGACCTCGAAATAATCACTGACCTCAAAATTTTTGATCTGCGACCGATGAAAAAATTGTGACCTATAAAATTTTAAATCTGGGACCTCGAAATAAACCGTGACCTACAAAATTTTGATATGTGACCGGAGAATAGTCATCGACGCAGTCGCCGAAGCAGAGATGGAGGGGAGGTGAGGTGAGGTGAGGTGGGGTGGGGTGGGGTGGGGTGGGGTGGATTAATTATATTATATTACAGTTAAATATTTAATTTAATATAATAATTGGGAAATATAATTAATTAATTCATGAAAAACCTGATTTTTACAATTTTAAACTTTAAAGTCTGATTTTTTATTTTGGGATAGATAAAGTTTTGAGTTGTGAATTTTTCCCAAAATGTTGTGGATCCTATGAAATGTATGATTAAAATTAATTGTTAATATTAACTCAAAATTTTATTAATTTTTTTTTAGATAAATCAAACCAGACGTCTATTATCTACAAAAAAATTGTATTTAGGATTTATTGTCAAACGATGTCCCCTTGATTAATGGAGCCATCATTCTCCTTTCTTCGACGATTATAATACATGAATTGATCATTTCATCCTCCTATCTACGCAATAAAATCCAAGGCCTTTCTCCTTCGTAATATTTCTTAAATTTGCATGATTTTTCCAATCCTTTTCTTCATTGACTATATGTATGTACACACTCAACTTGCCTAGTATTTAAGGAATTTGTTTAGGGGAGTCACCATCGTGTAAAATTACACAGCAACTACTCCATTAATTAATTTTCTACCAAGTGTAATTATTTTATTTTATTTTGACAACTTCATACTGTATTCACGTACTTATACGTCACTGATATGAGATCATAGAAGATAATACACCTAAAGTTGGACCAAATTATTTTCACTTCTATAAACATTAAAATCTTGTGTCCGAAAGTTTAGCAAAGATTTAAGAATTTCATAGTGTTCTTAATTTCCTCAAAGCCACAACGAAATAATGATACGACCATGAATTTATACGACCACGGATTTTTTAGGATTCATTTGGCAGTGCTTCTGTTTTTGTTTGGATTTTTTGAGAAAATTTTCATTAATTCAAAAACTATTTTTTAAAAGAGTTTTTTCTTCGAAAAAAAGTTTTTAGAGGAAGTCATATTAGGGGCCCGTTTGATTCTCATTATTGTAGAATAAGAATGAAAAATATAGCCGTTATTGAACCCCACTCTAAAAATAGAAATTCAAAATTGATGGCTTGATGTGATGGAAGAAGTCATATTTTTCATTTGTATGGATGAAAAATGAGAAACAAACGGAGGTTAGGTTAGTCATGGCAAACAGGACACTTATTAAGCCATGTTTGGTACACATTATTTTTTTCATTCTCATTCTTCTACTCATTTTCAACCACACATTCTTCAATAAAATAATATTTTTCATCACCTCAATAACTTTTCCTTCATTTTTAACCACACATTCTCCATCAATTTACTATTCAATAATACATTTTTTTCAAAAGAATGTGTCCCAAACATACTCTAAATTACATTGTGTATCCAACCATTACACTAATAAAATAAATTAATCAAAGTAAAGATAGATATTTTTTGGGTCATATCAGAGATCAATAAAATATTATAGAATATTGGAGAAGATATTGTCATGGTCATTAACGCGTATAGTTATATATAGCCTCTGCTTGAGTTACATTATTATCTCATTAAAATGAAAAATATAACCGTTATTCATCACATCAACATTTAAATTCAAAATTTCTATCTCTTATGTGGCTCCCAATAACAATTATATTTTTCATTCTTATTCTACAATAATTTGACTCAAACAGGACCATAATACTTTCCATGTTACCATCTTACCAATTTATTAAGATAACATTTTGTAATTATTAAGTCAATTCTTTAAGTTCCTCTATATCTACCATTATTTCAAAATTATTTTTTTAAAACTCATTTTCAACTACACATTCTCAAAATAAAATATTTTTTACATAAACTCAAAACTTGCCTAGTATTTAAATAATTTTGCTTGGCAGGGGTGTAGCACGTTAGGAGACGAGAATAAAACATATTTTAACTTATTTATATTTTTTAACTAACTTTTATCAACTTTTCAATCATACATTTCATCAATTTTTATTAAAATCTAATAAAAATATATATTTTATATTTTAACTAAACCAAACATGAACTTAATATTATTCAGTTGTATCTAATCAACTTTACGAAAACATGCTGCTAAAAATTGGAACAAAATCAGAGCCTGTTTGGTAGGAATTTTTGGGGGAAGAATTGATTTTGAATAGTGATATGATGGGAAATGTGTGGTTGAAAAAGAAGAAAAAAGTATTGATGTGATGGAAAATATTATTTTATTGAAAAATGTGTGGTTGAAAATGAGAATTGATTTGAGAATTGATTTGAGAATCAGAAACAAACATGGCCTTAGACCTATGAATAAATACTATGCCGATTAGGGTTGGACAAAACTCTCGAATCAAATCGAACCTAAACCGAATTGAACTGAACGATTCTTCTTAAATTAAATATCCGAACAAATATCTGAATCGAGAATCTACGAATTCGTTTCGATTCTCAGTTCTAGACCAATAACCGAAGAACCAAATCTCCATAATTTTTTTAATTTTTTTATCTTAAATAAGTCAAATTATTTTGTTTTTTTAAATAAATTGCTAATTAATTAATTTAGTCCAAACCTAAAATATGATTTTACTATTTCTAATTTTAAACAAAGCCCAACTTAATCAAATTGATTTAAATTTTACCAAAATCTCTTATTCTACTGTAGTGTCATTTCTAACGTTCTATTATTGTGAACTAACTATCTTTCTCTTTCTGTGATTTTAATAGTCAAATCTATGAAGACCTCAATAGAGAGAAGTACAAAAGATATCACGATATTGAACTACGTTATTTTATAAGAGTTAAGATTGAATATGTCATGGTCGAATTAATATAGCGTTGTTGTAATATAAAAAAAATTAAAACAAAACCGAATGAAATCGAACCCGAACGGTTATATAATTAAATTTAGACCCGATTATTTCATTTACTAAATACCCGAAAATTTCGAATTTATTTCGGTTCTCTTTGTAACCTAACCGAACTGGACTATACCCACCCCTAATGTCGATCTAGGCGAAAATTTAAGAATTTCTTGTTTCTTAATATTTTCAAAGCTACAACGAAACAAAGATACGGTTATTTACTATAACATGCAACTGCCCAAAACCTTACTTTCTTAAACACTTTTATGATTATTATTATTATAATATTTAATTTTAAAAATATCTGTAATTATTTTAATTAGTTGAGAGTTTATGCTATGACTATTAAATTTTAAATCTTACTTAGTATGATTACTTTTGTCGTGTTACATTGATTTATTGGAGAAATTTATTATAATGCTTGTTATTGTATTTAGTCATGGTTGATTTCCTTGTGAAAATGTTAACAATTATTAATACTTTATAAATATTATTAGTCAATTGTTTAGGTCATAATTTAATTAATTTTCACTAAGCATGTTTGATTATCTGAAAAATATCTAAAAGTAAACATTAAGTAACTTTGTCTTATTTGAATAAAAAAAAAAAACTGCTTATTTTGTAATAACATTTACTTAATTGTTAAAATTAATAACTTTCCATTTCCATTTTGACCACTGGAACTAGGAACAATGCCAGCAAACCATAGAGTAACTATATGCAATTTTGGAAAGGGAAAAAAGTTGACCAATTAAAGAAATCACTCATTTTGAAAAACTCTCTCATTACAAGCAAATTACTTATAATTAATTTAAGCTTACCAATTACCATATATGGCTCATTCACAAGCCATCAGCATTAGCTGCATAGCTTACTACATTCTACTACGTGTCAAGAAATAATTGGTCAATAAAGAGATTAGATTATATACAGAGGTCCACGCAATACTGTATCTTCAGTGAAGTTTCTGCTAGGGATTACTTCAACAAGAGATTATGCCGATATTATTATATTCGATTATGTCAAAAACTTGGGCTCCAATTAAAAGTTTAAAGTCTCAGATTTATGTGTATAAATACAAGGTTCAGACATCCTCTTCCTCACTCATAAGTTATTTCAGTAAAGTTACTACACCATGACGGTACTTTTCTTCAACTCTTTTCTGGGTATGTGTGTGAAAATATGTATACAACATGCATTAATCCTGTTGATTATGCATGTTTTCAGTTTCAACCAATTCGTGTTAATCCCAGTTTGCTTCTTTCACGTATCTTCGTTCATCTCGCTTGAATGATATGTTTGGTATTCTATATGGGACAAAACTTTGTTAGTTCCACCTTTACTTTTCAGTGTTTCGTGCTAGCATGCATATCGAGCGGTTGTACTCTTTGTGTTCTCTTTCTTGCTCAATTGTGTATATATAAAGTTATACAAAAGTTTGGTTGTTCATGCAGATTGTGGAGATGAGAGTGCACATGGACTGTCCTGGATGCAAAAAAAACATAGAGAAAGCCCTCAAAAAATTGAAAGGTAGGGCAATCTGTTCATTAATAACTTATTTTCAATCAAAATTGATAAATTATCGTGAATTTTTGATAATTTTTTCATGTTTACTAGGAGTGGATAACGTTGACATAGACATGTACATGCAAAAAGTGACGGTTACCGGCTGGGCAGAACAAAAAAAGGTACTCAAAGCCGTGAGGAAGACGGGACGGACGGCAGAGCTATGGCCGTACCCGTACAACCCAGAATATCATGGTTATGCTCCATTCTACTACAATCAATACTACACAAGTGAAAGTCCAGCTAATTACTACCATGCAAGTTCGGCCAGTTATTATTCGAATTCGGAGGCCCCCTCTACGTACAACTATCATAAGCACGGATATAACTATTATGCAAGTCCAGCCAGTTATTATTCGAATACCGAGGCTCCCTCTACGTACAACTATCATAAGCACGGATATAATGGCCACACCCATGGTTACTATCAGCAGCCACCGTCCTCCACTATCTTTGATGAGCGGACCATTTCAATGTTTAGCGACGACAATGCCACTGTCTGTTCTATTATGTGATGTGTGTGTGTTATGTTTGTAGTCAAACAATGGTGATTTTGAGAGACCATGGCTTCCTTTCTATCCCTCTTTCGAGCGTCTTGTGTCAGTGTGTGTAGAGGTTGTGAAGGGCTCAACCTGTTGTGGCACGATTCGAGTGGGCCACTGGTCCCAGCAGTTTTTCAGTTTTCAGAAAACAAAAGCTAAATAAAGCTCGTGGGGCCCATGCTGTACAGTGTCATGTGTGTGTTTTGCCTGAGACAGGACTTGTCTTCCCGTGTAACTCGGGTGTCCAAAGAAAAAAAATCCATACCCTATGTTGCTTAAAAATATCTGTTCTACTATAATCTTCATCCAAATTATGAATCTAGCAAAACAATAGAAAAATTGATTCCACACGTGAGCCTTTAATTAAACAAGTAATTTGATATGACTTTCATCACTATTTGAGTTACCTCTAAAATCAATAAAATAACATGAAATTATGCATCAAAAAAAGTTCAATGGACCAGAATAACTCAATTAAACCACTGAATTTCTAATAATGAAGAAAACAGAAAATCTATATTTTGTTCCATTATGTGCAGGTATAGAGAACTATAAACTAGCAGCTACATAGGTAGACCCTTGTTGCTTCTCGTGTTGTTTTATGTTGTCTGCAACATGAGCAACCACTCCAACTCCAGCATTATAAAGCCACTCATTTTTCACCTGCATTAAAAATTAAGAATCAGATTACAAGGATGAATCAGTAGGAGATGTCGTAAAGGATAAGAATATATTTCCGTAATTCTTACATTTATATTATTGTGTGCAAAAAATGGCCAGAATGCCGAGTGAAAGCTAACATCAATTTTCTTCCATCCTACTCGTTGTAAGCCACGTATCATTTCCTCTGTTATAAATATGAACCCCGTCATTCTCCTTCATTGTTGTACATAATAAAAATATTAACAGCAGCATGTTTGGCTAAACTTAAAAACCATAAAAGTCACTTCGAAATAACTTCTTATTTTCAGACATTATTTGGATAACTTACCTTCAAATAAAAAAAGATACTTATTTTGAAAGTAACTCTTACATTAGTGTAAAAGGGAGCAACATATTTCAACCTTGTCTTTCACCAACACGAAAAGTTATATATTTTAAAATTTACTTTTTCACTTATAAGTAACTTTTAACACTCAGTCAAACATGTGCTCTTAGCGTTTCAGTCAAAATGGAACAAATACCTTCCATAGTTTCATGATATTCTACTGTATTCTGATTGTTGGGTTCATTTTGGGCAGCCTCTTTAGCTTTGGCTGCTTCCTCTGGGAAATGGGGACCCTCAGACGAGACAGGTGGACAGTACTCCATGCTAACGACATGTTGATAGCCATCCAGTGACTGAAGAGGAGGCTGCCAAATTTAATACCAGTAATTTCAGAAGGATCGTGATAGAACAGAAAGACGTATGCCAATTTGATGTTCATGATTTTACTAACAGATTTACATTGAATAGAATCATTGAAACAAGGGACTTCTAATTAAGAAACTTTTACAAATGAAAGTGTACAAATTCACAAGTTTATGGAGCACTTTTGAGATGGATTTGATACTTTTTATTTTTTTTTTGACAGCACCATAAGATATCATTCATAAATATCACCAAAAGCTGTGCAATCAGTCCATTTTTAACCATCATATCAAACAAATTAAAAGATGCAACTTATATTGTGGCAAGCAACAAAAACCACCATGGTTGAGGATTCTTATTTAAGGAAAATCATACGATTGAAGGGATTATTTCCACTTCCCATGCAAAATGGAAGATATATTATTCTAAATAAACCATAATTAAAGTTCCACCGAGATTCGAACTCCTATGACTAAATTCAAAGTCCAATGTTCTAACTACTGGACCATAAAACCAGCTTCTAAGAATTAATTACCAATTGAGAATGTTTATTGCAAATTGCTTAGTATCACTCTTCTCTGCCAAACCAGTGTATTATTATATTCAAAGTCCAGTGTTCTAACTACTGGACCATAAAACCAGCTTCTAAGAATTAATTACCAATTGAGAATGTTCATTGCAAATTGCTTAGGTATCACTCTTCTCTGCTAAACCAGTGTATTATTACGTTAGGGATGATAGCACATAGGTCCCAAACCTTTTCATATGGCGCACTTGGTCCTCACCCAATTTTTATTGGCATTTGGGGCCCTGGCCTATCATTATTGTACCATTCGGGTCTCCACTGACGAATAATGTCCAGTTTCACTATGAACAGATGATATGTCAAACACAAGATAGTAACCAAAAAAAGGGTAGCTGCAGTGAAGCAAGCACAGATCAATGTCTAAGCCAACAGTAAACACATGATGAGCCCAAGGATGCCTATACTGTAAAAAGGAAAAAAGAAAAGAAAAAAAAAATAACAGTTTCTTCCCAACCCTCCAACCGCCCACCCAGACCCCACATCAGCCCCCTTCCCCATTACCACCCTTCTGTGTCAAATCCCCACTCGCATCCCACTTCAGCCATCCCTCCCTCATCAAAACCATGGAATCATTGAGATGGAATTACCAAGATTCTTACTGAAAGGGAACAATATTACTTGAAAATCCAGAATTTTCTAGTTTTTAATGTTAACTTGGCTTTCCAGTTAAATTGGAAAAGAAAGGTTTCACCTAGATTTGGGAACTAGCTCTGGATTCAAAGTCCAATTTTCTAATTATTAGAACACTATACCGTTAGCGATAAGGTAAGGTAGCCTATTAATGATCTTCAAATGGCATTAATGGAGTTCAAATGGATATTTTTCAGTTGTCTATGCCCAAATAACACCTGGTCTAAACCAAACGGCAAAACTTAAAGGTTTAACCGAGATTTCAACTAGGGCGATTGGATTTGAAGTCCAATGTCCTCACCCCTAGACCATGGAACCATCTTTAAGAAAGGCCAGCCAATAAATAGGAAAATGCATCTTGTTCATAACTATTTAAATAATATTTTACATAATGATGAGGTAAAATGCAAGTGAGAAAGTTATTTGATTGATGAAATTTTGATCTAATTGAATCTAGCCACATTATCTATTGGTAAACCATTATATAAATTGTTATGTACACGTAGCACAACCCTAATATTATTATTGGCAGGAAACAAGAACAGTTGCTTACTTGGGCATTATTTCAGATCAGAAGTAGCATAAATTTAATTCAAAATAACAGAGAAAAGAAAGTTCCCATCAACATTTGAACTCCAGTTGCTGAACTTAGAGCTCGATGACCTCATTGCTAGACCATAAATTCAATAATTGAGTTAAATTTTTTCTATTTAGATGTACTATCAGGAAACTATTTGAAATGGTATCAAGGGGACTTCACCATTGCGCTGAGCAATGTTACCCACACCTCAACAAATGAAGCATGCGTATTTGCTAGACACAATTCAACATTCATTAAACTGAAGTTCAGAGATAGACATCTTCACTAGTTATCAGGTACCAAAGATCAGTCACCTTTTTCAATCTTGAACTTTGATTTAGTACCTGTCTTTTGGCAGCTCTTATTCAAAACCATTATGGTGATTAGATTAAATAAGAATCTATTTCCATAGTGCCCCTTTTTTATTGGCATTTGGTCCTCAGGCTTTCATTTTTCTATCACTTGGAGCCCCTATTTACGGTTTCATCCAGTTTGCAAATAACTGATGGCGTGCATAATGGCAACAACCAAAAAGGAAAAAGGGAAAATCATTTTCTTCTTCCTACCCAGCCTGCACACGTCCCCGTCAATCACCCCTCCCCGCGAGACTCTGGAATTATCTCGTTGAGATAATATTACCAAGATTCTTATTGAAAGAAAACAACATTAATGGACTACCAAGATTTTCTCTGTTTCTAATTTTAGCATGTTTTTCACTTTAAGGGTGTGTTTGAGCCACATTATTTTGGAAATGTGTATTTTTGAATAGTAGATTGATGGATGGAGAATGTGTGGCTGAAAAAGAAGGAAACGTTATTAATGTGATGGAAAATATTATTTTATTGAAGAATGTGTGGTTGAAAATGAGTAGAAGAATAAGAATGAAAATTTTAATATGGCTCCAAAAGGGGCTAAATTGGTAAAAGGCAAAGGTTCCACCAAGATTTGGGTTCTAATAACTTGATTCAAAGACAATGTTCTATATACTAGACTACTGTTAGTCGTGATGAGGGTACCTGATACGACTTTTCAAATGGCATTAATGGAATACTGATGGATATTTTCACTTTCCTATGCTGAAAGCCTGAAACAAAATCTGGTCTAAACCAAATCACAAAAATATAAAGGTTCCGCCGAGAACTCGGGCTATTAGATTCAAAATTCAACGTCCTAACCCCTAGACCAGGGAACCATGTTAAAGAAAGGCCAGACGATAATGTCTTTATTGACAGGAAATGCAAAATGTACGTGGGTATTACTTCCTATCAAAATCAGCATACATTTTATTCTAAACAGTGAAAGAAGACAAAGTTTCCATCAGTATTTGCACTCTGGTGGCGGATTTGGAGCCTGATGTCCTGATCGCCGGACTATAAACCAATAATTGAGCTAAGGTTTCCTATTTAGATCTTTTGTAAGGAAATTACTTGAAATGTATTACAGAATGTTTAAAAATTATGTGCTACCCCAGGATACAATGTTGCTCAGACTCCATTTCAATGATAAGGGTATGAGATCCTTCTCGGATCCTTTAAATCAAAAGAGAATCTTTTATATCAATTTTTTTTTTTTTGTATTGTATTTAAAATGATTTCTAATTTATATTTCACATTTCAAGATTTGAAATGAAATTCAAATGAAGTATCACAATTTGCAATTTAATATGCTATAGATTTACAGTTAAATATATAAAATACATTTATCTGAACTGAAAATACATGTAAAATTATCAATATATAAATATCTTGAGTAATGTTAAGTTTATAAGACGTCGTCAAGTACCCGCGTCTAAATTTTGGATCCTTTTTAGTTGCATTTCCATATCC